GGGGTGTCCATCAGGGGTGATGGAGGGGGGTGTCAAGCAGGGATACTGGGGGTCCCTCAGAGGTTATGGGAGGGGCCACCCAGGGGTGATGACTGGGAGTGGGTCACCCAGGGATCCTGGGGGTTCCTTCAAGAGGGCTGGGGGTGTCATGCAGGGGTGCTTGGGGTCACCCAGAGGCGCTGGTGGGGGTCCCTCAGGGGTCCTGGGGTGTCCCCCCGGGTGCTGGGGGTCCCTGACCTGCGGGGCTCCAGCGAGGGCAGAGCGATGACCCTCTCGAAGCTCATAACGAAGTTCTCCAGCCACTGCTGCAGGTACGACACGTCCTTCTGCGGGGGAGGGAGGGGCTGCAGCCACCAGCCAATCACAGACCACCCTGAGCCCCACCCCGGCCAATCACAGACCACCCCGAGCCCCGCCCTGCATCCATCAGCCAATCAGCAGCCAGAGAAATCAAGCCACGCCCCCCTCAGGAGCAGTTGGCCAATAGGGGCCGGGGCATGACCACACCCCTGGGAGCCACTGACCAATCAGAGCCCAGAGCAGCACAACCTGTGGACTCACTGACCAATCAGCATCCAGAGCCACACAACCTGTGGGAGCTTGCTGACCAATCAGCACAACCTGTGGGAACTTGTTGACCAATCAGGTGCCAGAGCGGCAAAACCTGTAGAGCTCCTGACCAATCAGAACCCAGAGCCGCACAACCTGTGCAGATGCTGAACCAATCAGAACCCAGAGTAAGAACAACCTGTGGACTCGCTGACCAATCAGTGCCAGAGCAGCACAACCTGTGGAGCTCTTGACCAATCAGCATTGAGAGCAGCACAACCTGTGGGAACTTGCTGGCCAATGAGCATGAGCTGTGGAGCCACCAGCCAATCAGAACCCAGAGCAGCAAAACCTGTGGACTCGTTGACCAATCAGCTCACAGAGCACCTGCCCCCTAAATTCAGCACCAGCCAATCAGGGCAGAGCTTCCCCCCCCCAACACCACCCGTGGTTGTGCAACAAATGGTGCCAGTGGTGACATCGGTGACACCCCGGGCTGGGCACCCCCACCCAGAGCACCCTGGGGTCACCACGGCCCTGAGCATCCCAGTGGGGCACCTTGGGGTCACTTACATCCCCAAAAACCCCAAAGCAGCACCTTGGGGTCACTCACGTCCCCGAACACCCCAAGGTGGCCCCGTCAGCACCTGAGCACCCCAGCACATCAACCTGGGGTGACCCTCAGCCCTGAGCACCCCAAGGTGACACCACGGGGTCACCCCCGGCCTTGTGCATCCCCGTGTGGCGCCTTGGGGTCACTCATGTCTCCAGGAACCCCAAAGCAGCACCTTGGGGTCACTCACAGCCCTGAGCACCTCAGGACATCAACTTGAGGTCACCCATGTCCCTGAGCCCCCTGAAGCAGCATCTTGGGGTCACTCATGTCTCTGAACATCCCAGTATGACACCTTGGGGTCACCCATGTCCCTGAGCACCCCAATGTGACACCTTGGGGTCACCCATGTCCCTGAGTCCCCCAAAGCAGCATCTTGGGGTCACTCATGTCTCTGAGCATCCCAATATGACACCTTGGGGTCACTCATGTCCCTGAGCACCCCCCGTGACACCTTGGGGTCCCCCACGCAGCACCCTGGGGTGTCCCCACTCGGCAGGGACCGTCCCCCCTCGGGGACATCCCTCTTCCCACTCGGACCAGCCCCCCCGGCCCCCCCCCCCCCCGGCCCCCCCCCCCCCCCCCCCCGAGCGCCGCATCCCTCGGGATGATCCCGGTACCTGCCCCCGGGGGTTCCCGGTGCCCTCCATGCCCCGGGCGCTGCCGCAGCCGCGCCGGCACGGCCGGAACAGGGCCGGGGGAGGGGCTTGGGGTGTTATTGTAGGGCCCCCCCCCGTTTTGTCGCCGCTGCCGCTTGTGCAAAGCCACCAAAAATACAAAAAAAAAAAAAAGCCCCAGAGCGTCAGGAAGTGCCAAGTCACCCGCGGCCCCAACGGCGCTTCCTCCGCCCGCTCCGGGGGCACCGGGAACCGGGGGGACACGGGGGGGACACCGGGGGACAAAGGAGGGACAGGGGGGGACCCCCAGTGCCCCCCCCCGGGCCGTGCCCCGGGCCCCGCTGCGGCCGCGAGGGGCGACGGCACCGGCACAGGGTGGTTTATCCCGGTATTCCCTGGGAATAGAACCCCAATCCCGCCCTC